TTCTGAAATGGCTTTTACTCAAGTCACTAGTGACTGTGTCACTAATTCTGACCTCAGCAGTCATCATTGGCTTTTGTGACGCTTCCCTGTCCTGCTTTTCCTTCTGTCTCTTCTGCTAATTTGTCCTCCCCTTGAATGTTATTGTTCCTCTGAGTGCAGACCTAAGGCATCTTCTCTACACTTCACCTAGGCATTCCCCTTTTCCTTTTCTACGACTGTCTAGACCTCTAATCCAGAACTTTTCTCAGCACCAGAACTTTATTTAGTCTTCAGCTGTTTATTTAGAATTATCAGTCTGTCCACTTCTCTAGATTTCTGTTGCCATTAATTAGCCTAGACCATCACCCTGACCCAGTCTCCAGCATCTCCTGCTTTTGAATTGTCATTGTTCCTTAGCTAAGGTTCCTTTCGGTTTCTCAAGCACACCAGGTTCCTTTCTGCCTCAGGGCCTCTTCCCTCTTCTGCCCTTCTCGCTAACTCCCACTGCCCTTTACCTCTCACCCTCAAATGTCACTCCCTCGAAGAAACCTCCTCATGTGACGTAGGCTTAGTTAGGAACCCCTTTCTTAGCCCTTTACTGTCTTTGAAATAATTCTTATTTTAGCCTTTTTAATAAGTAGTTCTTATTTTCTCTAAATATTTATTTATTTATTTATTTATAAATTTTTTTTTTTTTTTAATTTGACAGACAGAGATCACAAGTAGGCAGAGAGGCAGGCAGAGAGAGAGGAGGAAGCAGGCTCCCCGCTGAGCAGAGAGCCCGATGTGGGGCTCGATCCCAGAACCCTGAGATCACGACCTGAGCCGAAGGCAGAGGCTTTAACCCACTGAGCCACCCAGGCGCCCCTAAACATTTATTTTTTTAATGTCATTCTCTTGTAGTTGTAGGTTCCACAAGGAGAGAAGGGTCTCTGCTTTTCCAGCATTATATCCCAAGGGCCTAGTCCTGTGCCTGGTACTTTAGTAGGTGCCCAGTATATTTTGATGGAAGGAAGAATTTGGGTGACTTACTCAGGTTCATCTAGATAGTAAGTGACAGAAGACTGCAGTTAGGTCTGTCTGATCCTGATAAACCATAGGTCCCCCTTGAGCTAAGTCTGTGGAGGGATCCTGCTCTTGAGGTTAAACTGCCTCACTGTATCTTATGCAGCTTAGCCCCAGTGCCTCCTGATGGTCTCCTCGTGTGTGATTTCTATGAGCCCTGGGGGTGCTGGGCCTTCCTGGTTTGACAGCTTACCTGATGGCTTTGTTGAAACACTGTGAGATTTGACTGTGCCTGCCTCTTGCCACATTAGCTTCGCGGGGAGATCTCCAGAAACTAGGAGCCTAACCTTTCCTGGACATCCCTCCTTCTGTCTTCACCCGCATCCAAGTTCCCTTTGATCATGCATCCTTTGCCTCTGTGTCCTGGGGGGGAGAACTTTGGGGTGATTTGAGGTTAAGCTTTTCCTCAGAGCTCTAACTCATCTCCTGAGTCAGAATATTCCTATTTCTTTTGTTGCCAGTGCTGTGGGCCAGAGTGAGTGGCCATGTTTCTGTGCTACACGATTGTACCAGGATTCAGTGCCGAGCTGGACCTAGACCTCTTGGTCTCTTGTCTCTCTGTTTAGTTGATGATGCCTAGAAATTCTAGGCTGGAACACCTTTCAGAGCCATACACCTGTCAAGCCCTGGGGAAGTGTTTCTCAGAGCTCCCCCACCCCCAGTACTAACATTCCTGAGATTCTGGCTTTTGAGAGTTGCACAGTTAATGGACTCCCACAGGTTTGGCCCTGCCCCCTGACCTTAGCTTATCCTTTTCCACTGCCTTTTTTACTCTCAGTAAATAAATCGGAACCGTTCAAGTAACTGGCTCTCAGTGAGCTAAGTAGCTGATTGTTCTACAGCTAACATTCAGCACATGTTATAGGACACTTTGGATAGAATTTGGGTAGGAGTCCGGAGGGTCTGGGTTCACGTCACCTCTTATCTCTTTCCTCTTCTGGGCTTTGGTTCGCCCACCATTAGGGCTGCTCTGGTGTTCCGTGGTAACCACTCAAGCTCACCTTTAGTTGCTTCAGATGGGTTTACAAGAGAGTAAGGTGTGTGTGAAGGCAGGAAGCTCTGTAATGGATTTTTGGGGCACTGTGGCATTTCTGCCTCCCACCCTTGAGGACTCTTGGGATCCGGTAGCAGTTCTGATGACTGAGAGGCTGTTCCTCAGAAGGGCATCTTGGAGTAAGCGAAGCCTCCATGTTGAGTGGAAGTGGCAGGCAGCTAGTGTCACCCTCTCATACTCCCTGTCCCAGCACCAGAGTGCCCTGTCCATTCTCACCCAGCCTCAGGGTTTTGGCTTTTAAAAAGACAGGTGTTTGGAAACAGAAGAAAAAAAGAGAGCAAACTCAAGTTTAAGGAAATAGAAAAAGGCTAGATGCAGTAAATCTACCTAACAGGTCCAGATGAGATTGTAATAACAAATGCAGAAAGCTTTTTCACAATCTATTATAGAGTCTTACAGAATGTTTAAAAGTTCTGGAGATTAGGGGACGCCTGGGTGGCTCAGTTGGGTAAGCCACTGCCTTCTGCTCAGGTCATGGTCCTGGGGTCCTGGGATCGAGTCCCGCATCGGGCTCCTTGCTTGGCAGGGAGCCTGCTTTCTCCTCTCTCTCCACCTGCCTCTCTTCCTGCTTGTATATACTCACCCTCTCTGACAAATAAAAAAAATCTTTAAAAAAAAAAAAAAAAAAAGTTCTGGAGATTAGTTGCACAACAGTATGAATATACTAAGCACTAATGAACAATACATTTAGAAGTAGTTAAGATGTATATTCTATATTATGTGTTTTTAACCACAGTTTTTAAGGCAAAGGAAAGAAAAAAAAAACAGGTCTTTAGAAAGTGTCAACAAATAAATTTCAAGTCTTTTCTTCTTGGGGTAGGGGGAAAATGCTATATAGTTATGTAACAATAAACCACAAGGAAATTGTGCAAAACTTGGTATTTCTTTTTGGAGCATGGAATTGATTATTTGTTATAATTAACTGGTAATAAATAATTTTTAATCTAAAAGTAATATATATTCATTAAAGAAAATTTGAGTGCAGAAAAGTAGGCAAAAGAAAAACATCACCTATGAACCTACTATCAAAATATCCCTGGTGTGAACATTCTGATCTATTTCCTTGTGATCTTTTTCTGTTTGTATAGATTTGGGCTTATCTTTACATATGATACCAGTCATGTTGTGCCTCCAGCTTTGTACCCTACTTTTTGACACTGACTGTTACATCTCCGGCTTCAGTTGCCTCGCTGCCTGTTGAGTTCCTTGACTGTGTACCAAATTTATTTGGGCATTCTCCTTTTCTGGATCAAGCATGATTATTTCCATTTCTTTGCTTGTTTTTATTATTTTATGGGTTTTTCTATTATATAACTTAAAATTCACCCTTTTGACCATTTTTTACAGGTTTTATTTATTTATTTGACAGAGAGAGACCGCAAGAGAGGGAACACAAGCAGGGGGAGTTGGAGAGGGAGAAGCAGGCTTCCTGCTGAGCAGGGAGCCCGACGACGAGGGGCTTAATCCCAGGACCCTGGGATCACGACCTGAGCCGAAGGCAGACGCTTAACAACAGAGCCACCCTGCACCTCTAGCCATTTTTTATTTTTATTTTTTAAAGATTTTATTTATTTATTTGACAGACGGAGATCACAAGTAGGCAGAGAGGCAGGAAGAGAGAGAGCGGGGGAAGCAGGCTCCCCACTGAGCGGGGCTCAATCCCAGGACCCTGGGATAATAACCTGAGCCAAAGGCAGAGGCTTGAACCCACTGACCCACCCAGGTGCCCCCCCCAGCCATTTTTTAAATGTACAGTTCAGTGCATTAGTTGCATTCACAATGTTGTGCAACTGTCACCACTATTTCTAAGATTTTTCATCACCCCAAGCAGAAGCTCTGTGCCCATGAAACAGTAACTCCCATTCCCTTCCTCCAGCCCCTGGCCACCTCTAACCTACTCCTTGTCTCTATGAATTTGTCTATTGTAGGTATTTCATCATATCAAATGGAATCATATAATATTTGTCCTTTGGTGTTGGACATTTCACTTAGCCTACTGTTTCCAAGGTTCATGCATGCGTGCCAAGGTTCATGTTGTAGCGTGTATCAGAGCTTCATGATTTTTATGACTGAATAATATTCCATTGTGCGGATATACCATGTTTTGTTTTATCTCCTTACCTTTTAATGGACACTTGGGTTGTTTCCACCTTTTGGATGTTGTGAATAATGCTTCTGCGAGTATTGGCTTACAAGTGTGTGTTTAGTCTTTGTTGTCTTGAGTTGGAGGAATATATGTAAGGATGGACTTGCTGTGTCATATGGTAATTCTGTTTAACTTTTGGGGGGAATTGCTTAACTCTTTACTTCTTTAATTATAAATAGTGCTTAAATGAATATCTGTATACATGAGGCTTTTTTGATATTTTTACTTTAGCTACTTGAAGTGACATTAATGAACAGTTAGAGGGCATGGCAGTTTGAGACGTCATGCCAGATGCTATCCAAAAGGATTGGACCTCTTTTGCTGCTGCCATAAGTGTTTGGGAATGCCCTTGTCCCCAACCCACATTGCACCAGATATCGGACTGTTTTTGAATTTTAGAGAAGAGATATTGTCCGTCTCCATTGAAAGCATAGTCTGGCCACAGAGTGACTTATCTGACATAGCTCCTGATCACCGGCCCTGAGTCCTTCTACCTCCTGATCTCCTTGTCCCTGATGCTGACCAGCCCAGGGCTCTGTTAGATCTGACTTCCCAACCCATCTGTGGTCTGTCCCTTTCTCCCCATCTAGCCAGCAAAGATGAGGTCGATTTGGCATATCAAAGATGTTCTGTAAGTGTGGGGCCTCCCCCTCCCTCTTTGCCTCCTCTTCAGAAGACATAGGCCTCTGTGGTATCATCCTACTTGGGCTGATTCTCACACCTTTCCTGTCTTTTCCTCCTGTTGTTCTCTCTCAGTTCTACAGCGAGTCGGGCATGCCTACCAAACACCTCTCGGACAGTGTGTGTGCCGTGTGTGGGCAACAGATCTTTGTGGATGTCAGTGAAGAGGGCATCATCGAGAACACATACAGGCTGTCTTGCAATCACGTGTATCCTGCCTGGAGCCCCTTGGGCCTCATCTCTCCGGTCACATGCACATTCCGGTCAAGGGGAGGGGACAGCCATGACCCTGGCATGCTCTCTAGACCTTTCAGTGCGGGAGAGTCACTAGAGGCCAGACATTTGGGAGATGTTCTCTGCCAGGGAAGCTGACACCCTGGAGTGGAAACTGTGGTCTCCTTCCCTCTTTGCCACACCTGGGAGCCACGCTTCTGTAAACAGTTTATAGCCTGGCTGAATCAGAAAGGAGCCCAAAGCTGCACTCACTGCCCCGAGGTTGGAGCATCCTCTAGCTGGTTCCCTCGGTGTCAGAATCCAGTCCTCCTGAATAACATTTCTAGTATGTATCCTGTGCTTGCTCAGCTCCCGTTCTGTGCCGTGTATTATCTCTGTTTTCCCCCATAAACACCCTGTAAGATGGAGATCATTATCCTCACTTCACGTGTGAGGAGGCAGGGTCAGAGAGAAGGGATGTGCCCAAGATTATACAGCTAAAAAGAAAGGAAGGCAGGATTTGAACTTTTCTCCAGAGCTTGTGCTTGGGTGCCTTGACCACGAGCATGGGGCTCGAGTGCCATCCCGCCTGCCCACCATTTCCCTTGACCAGTGGTGCTCAGATTCCACGAGTTCTGCATCCGTGGCTGGTGCATTGTGGGAAAGAAGCAGACGTGTCCCTACTGCAAAGAGAAGGTAGACCTCAAGAGGATGTTCAGCAACCCGTATCCTTTGGGAATGGGCAATGGGAAGAAAGTCCTGGCCAGCGTCACTCTGCATTTGGGTCCTCCCGGGGCCCTTTCTCCTCACTCCACCCTCTACCCTGGTACATACCCACTGTTCTGTTTAGTTTGTGATTGAGGGAAGTTGGGGGTGGAAAAGGTAGGACTTACAGCTCAGATTCTCATCATAGTTCTAGATCCCTCAAAGGTAAATTGGTAGCAGTAGCAGCCCGTTTACTGTTTGCTTCCTCTGTGCCTGGCACTGGGTTAAGTGCTCTGCCCATATTATCTCATTTCATTCTCTAGCGACTTGATGACATCAGTAATACTATCCTCCATTTTAAAAATGAAATGATTTAGAGGTTGAAAACCTACTCAGGGTTACATAACCAATGAGTGGTGCCTCACCTGTGACCTGTGGGGCTGCAGACCGGCCGTGTGCCTGTGCAGAGCCCACAGGGTACAAGGCTGGCTGAGGGACTCCCTGTTCTATCCCCTTTCAGCACGGGACCACTGCTCCTCTAAGCTACTCCTCTGTATCCTGCCGGCCCTCCCTATTCTGCGCTCCCTCACCTTCCTCTTGCTCCTCATCACCTGTCTGTTGGAAGTTGCCCAGCCACTGCTCTGGTCCCCCCTTCACTATCCTTGGGATCCCGCGGCCCAGGTCTCTCCCTGCCTTCTCCTGGCTGCCCTGAGTGGCAGGGTTCCCTATCCCCTGGACACTAGCTAGGCTGGGCAGGGACCACTGAGTTCCCAGCACATTCCCACAGCCCTCAAACCAGAGGCTCTGGCATGTCCCTTTAAGGTTCCTTGCTTGGTTCTTCTAGGGTCTAGTTCAAGAACAGTTAAGTAACCCCATGGTGAGGTTGAGGCTTGGGGCTTCCCCACAGTCCCCAGGGACTGGGCCAGGCTGCTCTTTCTGATGCTTTTGGAAAGGTTCCCCCGCAGTGTCATGAGGTTTAATCTGTGCTTTCCCCAGAGCTGGATTCCCAGACTCTCTGTCTTGCCCAGCAATTTAGTTCAAAAGTGAAAGGAAGGGAACTCCTCTCTAGGGCTGCTCAGCCTCAGTAGGGCCTGGTGTTTGGTGGTACATGGGGATTCCTTAGAGCCTCTGCCAGGGTTATCCCTGTGACTAGCCTCTTGCTCCATGTTCCCTTCTGCCTTGGCCCCTAGACTCGGCCCCTTCCTTGACCTACAAAACCTACCATTTGGGACATTACAAGAACCCTTGAGGTTACCTTATCCCACTGCCCACGTCCTTGCAGCCGTTGGCATGGATGAATTTACAGCAGTCTCAGACTGTGTGCTCTCACACCAACAGGCCCATCTTTAAGAAGGTGTTATTGAAAGCTCTCTACACATGCTGGCCTTCGAGAGCTTAGTTTCACTTCACCCTTCCCTTCTCACCTCCTTCCCCCGATCTCTGGGTTCAACCCTTCCTTCTAACATGGAGAGGCTGTTGGGGGCTTCCTCTCTTTGTAGGCAGGCTGATTTCTGTGGAGCAGATGAGAGTGTAGGCAGAACCTCTCACCCAGCCCTGAGCCCAGCCTCAGCAGCTCTGACACATAGCCTCTTTAACGCACTGACAGCTGGGAGAGGCCTCACGTCATGTACGGGCAACTGCTGGATTGGCTTCGATATTTGGTAGCCTGGCAGCCTGTCATCATTGGCCTGGTACAAGGCATCAACTATGTCCTGGGCCTGGAATAGTCAGGAAGAAGAGCATCCGCCTGCTATGGACCTCAGGGCACTCTCCTCCCTGCCCTCCAAGATGACCTGGGTGGGAAAGACTCAGAAGGGGCACTTGGGCCACTCAGTACCCCTCTGGCTGTGCCCGGGCTGGGGAGGGAGATGGTGGAGAGCCAGCCAGTGGGGCTGTCAGCAGTGGGGGCTTTTTAAAAGAAAACTATTTTGATGAATATATTTAAAACCTTTTTTATTGTGGAGCATAGGAATTGCCCCCAACTCTTCCGGGCCTTGCCTTCCTTGTTTGAGCAGGGCGGGAGCAGAGCCACATTTTTGATTTAAAGGAGCCTTCTCATCTCCGGCTGAGAGTCTCAGCCGCCCCACCCCTGTCCCCCGCCCTTCCTTCCCTCTGTGGGGCGCCAGCCTGGTTCACTCTGTGTGGGAGAGCCCACGGGCTCTGCCTGGTACCACAGATACACACTGATGGGGGGTGAGGTGTCTTCCTTCCTCCCTTTCTGGGCCCCTCAGTCGGTGTTGTGTCAACTCTGTCTTCCCTTGTCCAGGACCCATAGACTGGTTGATGCAAGTGGAGCCTAGTCCTGACTTTTGCAGGGAGGGATGCCCTGGGATCTCACAGTTCACCGAGGATTTGTCGGGGGAAACCCAAAGCAGCAGCAGTTTGGGTAACATGCCCCTAGCGAAGACCAGAGTCTCTCTGTGTGTAGTTGGGCCACGGGAACTACTGTTGGCAGCAGTGATTGAAGGCCTCTTGTGCAATCTGACCCTTCAGCCCAGAAGTGGTGACACACACCAAAGGCCACTCTGCCACGTCACTTCCTTCCCGGAAAGCCTGCGTGAGGGTGTGCATGTGCGTCTGTTCGTGTGCGGCAGTAGAACTGTGACAGATAGGACTTCTCCCTATCGTCAGACAGTGTTCCCTTGAAGCTGCCAGGGGATTCCCAGCCCAGGGAATATCCCTCTGTCAACTTCCACGTTCATGGGTCCTGCCTGGGCCTGGCCACAGGAATGGTGGTGGGTATGAAGAGAAGAGGGCAAGATCCAGGCAAGTGTGGGTTCTAAAAAGGTTCCAGGTAGGCCCCAGCTCTGGCCCTAGGAGTTTTGAAGGAAGTGGGAGGGCAAACGTGGGCCTTCAGCACTGGGTTCCTTGGGAATGTGGCCCAGCGGGGCCTGCCTTCAAGCGCACCAAGAGCCAAGCAGGATCTTGTCACTCCATTCTGAATAAAGCTCCATGAGCTGGGTTGGAAAGCTGAACATCCATCTTGCTTTATTCTTCCCTGGGGTCCCCGGGAGTGCCTTGCCTTTGCTGCCTTTTGCTATTTCCATTTGAAAGCTGGATCCTAGGGGTGGTTGGCCCCATCCCTTATCCGTGGGAATGGTGGGATGCCAGACTCCTGTCCCGTGACAGAAGAGCCCTGGAGCAACACTGGGTGACTCTCTCCTTACCACCTGAGGTGAGGTCAGTGCCCTGTCTGCTACCAACACCACTTTTCATGGGCCACCCTCAGCTTCGGCTTCTCTCACCCAGCTGTGGCTTTGCATGGTCCCCACTGCTCGTGTCAGTGGGCCCGTCCTCAGAGTGGAATGGGGACCAGTTGAAGGGTGCGGGGATCGTCCTTTCACTCTTGTCCCCCTATGTGTCAGGCTCATGTGAGAAGCCAAGACCAGGCTGTCCAAGGCTCTCTTTTCATACTGCATCAAGTCTGAGTCCCATGTCCTCCCAACAGCCCAACTCTTGTCTTGGTTCCGCTCTGAGTCCAGTCTCCTCTCCGTCCCATCCCCCAATCTCATCCCCAAAAGACTGTCTCAGAAGCCCCAAGCAGCCTTGCCTCCTAGCCTAACAGCTGGAGATACTGGCGCTCCCAGGCAGGAGTTTTATGATGCATCCGCCAAACCTAGTTCCATCTCCTGGCTTCCCTGGCTCTGTCCCTGGCATCCCAGGTCCCTGATCACAGAGACCACAAACCTCGGACACTTGGGTCTTACCCTTCGTGCTTGATCTGTGTGTGGCCTGGGTCACCAGTCCTGGTCCTCTCTGCCTCCACAGACACGAGCACGACCCCAATCGTGAGTGCCTCCTCCAGCTTGGCATCCCCGCTGCCTCACACCTCACCCTAGTCCTGACCCTGCCACAGCCCCAGCTCCTGACCCTGCCACAGCCCCAGCTCTGCTTGTCCCGTCAGCCACCAGACTGTTCATTTCTGTAGCTCTGTTGCTGGAGCTGGCGCTAGGCTGCTTGCTCCTCCTCTTCCCCGGGAAGTGCCCTCCCCTCCTTTTAGGGCCAGCACTTCAGCTCATGTTCCAAGGCCTCAGCCTGGCTCTGAGAAGTTCCTGCACACAAGGCCAAAGAGTGCTGTCGGCACAGTTCCCGCGGCATGGCCCAAGCAGGGCTGGACACAGCTGGACTGAGTAGAGCTTCAAGAAGCAGGGATTCTGAAGAAGAGGGCTGTTCGGGGCTTCTCGAGAGCCAGGTAGGGAGAAACCTAGTCTTCCTAGTGGACCCAGACCTGTAGTTCTGACCAAGAGGCTGGGATGAGAGAAGAGAGAAGGCTTTGTGGGGTGGTTGGGGGGGGTCGGTGGTTGGAGGGAGTAGGGAGCCTGAGAATGACCAGGATGACAGGTTGGTGTGACATTGAGACTGAAATGGTCAAAGTGATTCAACTTAGGGTCCCCAGTGCCTAGAAGAGTTGACCACTTGAATAGCAGTGTGAATGTGAAAGAAAAAACGTGAGGCCTGCTCACATAGACACGTGGTTCTGAAGAGCAAAGGTGGATGCCGAAGCCCTGGGCTGGGATGGAAGAATCCACCTGGGAGAGACTCTTTCATGAGGTTCATCCCATCTGTGCCCCTGGGAGGGTGACATTGAGCAGACATTAAAGACCCAGTCTGATATAATCGGGAGAGTAGAGGAACCTGGGAGTTAGCAGGAAGATTCCCAGCCAGAATGAGTTTCGGCTCCAGAAGAGGTGCAGTGTACAGGCTGGGGTCACGCTTGTGTAACCTCTGTTAGTAACTCAGTGCTTGCTGACAAGCGAAAGTGAAATAGAGGGGAGAGGGGACAGTGCTTTCCCAGAAGGATTTCACTAATTCTGCCCTTCCCAGAACCAGCTCCAGAGAAGAAGGCTTTGCTCTCTCTGCGACGGGGTAAGTCCCTGGCCCCTGTGTGGTTCCATTTCTCCATCCCTGTAACAAAGGGGTTAGGGCACACTCAGCATAATGTTAATGATACTAAGAGCTGGTGTCGGGAGGACTGTCACCTGATGGGTCTTCAGCTTTGTTGCCAAGTGCTGAAAGAGCCCCAGCCTGTGCTGGATGCCTGCCTGTAAGTAAACAGCAGTACCTGGCCGCCCGTTAGAGTTCAGACTGAGGGCGGGCTGTGGAACCCCCAGGAAGGGCAGGCCCATGGAAATGGCTAGGATCAAGCCACTGAGAAATTGAGAGAAGTAGTTGATTGACGTTCTCCTCCCCCACCAGCCCCAGAGAGGAAGTTGTTACAGATAAATAGAACCAGGCACGCCAGCTCCTGACACATCCATCAAGACCATGGGACAGAACTGGACACCAGGTGGGACCTGGGGCTGGCCTGGGCGGGCAGGATGAGGTCTGAGAACAGAAGGGAGTGCTGCGGGTGGCCCTGAGCCTTATCCCCAGGGAGTGGCGGGGGGTGGGGGATACTCCATTCTGCTGTTGTGTTATGGCTTTCAGCCTCTCTCTGGGTGCTGTGGTTCTGGCTGCACTCCAGTATCTCCCTGCCCTCCATTAGAAAAGGGCCATGATGTAGGTAGGGCCTCAGGACGCCTTCTGCTCCTCCGATGCCCTGGGCTGAGCCCAGGAATCTCTGGGCCAGAGTTGCACCCAGGCCGGGATATCGACCATGCCTGGCAGTCAGACAGCAGTTGACCTCTGTGACTGTCCTGCCCTTAGATCGCAGCCCTTTGCTGGTCCTGCTTTTGTGTGCCCACATGATCTGTCACCTGGTTGGAGCCACACCTGTACCTCGGGCCACTGCCACTGCCTCAACTGGGGTCACAAAGGACCCCTGCTCCTCCTGGCTCCCAAGAGCTAAGCGGTGCCCAGCATTGGAGGTGACCTGGCCAGAAATGGAAATCCCACTGAGTAAGGAGCAATTTTGATGGGATCCCAAAGAACACAGTGGTCTGGGCTGGGTTGTGGGCACAGAGGGTCCAAGGGTGGGGTTGACTCCTGAGCTGCACCCTACCCCAACCTTCTGCCATGTAGCCCCACCAGCTAGGCCAACTTGCCAGAGCATTCAGCACGTTCCCTCCCACCCAGCATCATGAGTGTGGGTTTAGGGCCCAGCTCCCAAGGTGTTCCTTATCCAGTGGGATGGAGAGAATTCCACCATAAGGATAGTCAGAGGACTCCTAGAGCCTTGACTGCAGTATGCCCCAAGGCCCAGCCTGCTCCCTGCTCCCTCCCCGCCAACCCCCTTGGTCTCCGGCCACCCACAGAGGAGCAGTGGCCTCCTGCCGCTGCCTCCTTGGCCAGGGCTCCTAGAGTCACCAGAGCTGAGCACTAGAAAAGGTCATCCTGAAGAAACAGGCTCAGAGGGAGTGCTCACCTGAACCAAGGACCTGTCCCCAGATTTCCTCTTGTTCAGCCCTGAGTCTCTCTGTAGACAACCACACTTCCCCATTAGCAGACTTTCCCACCTGCGTGTATTCACAGCAGCACTCCAGGTTCCTGAATTGTGGGGCCTGGGAGGCAGGGCAGCATGACAGAGGGGAGGGTGTGCCCTGTGGAAGAGCTAACAGCCACACGTGTCCCCCTAGATGGAACGCTGACCTTGTCCTGTACCGCCTGCAGCCACTCCACCTTCAGCATCCTCTACTGGATGGGCAATGGCTCCTTTATCGAGCACCTCCCAGGTCGGCTACGAGAGGGCAGTACCAGGTGAGGGGTGCAGCAGTGAGGCCAGCAGGAGGGGAGGGGGCTTCTTGTGGTCCTCTCTCATGGCCTTCCGCCCTCTGCTGCAGCAGGGAGTACCAGGGTGCTCGCACCCAGCTGCGGCGGGCCTTGGCGTTAGAGGAGCTGAGTCCCACCCTGCTCAACACCAACTTCTCTTGTGTCTTTGCTGATCCTGACCAGACCGCCCAGCGTCATGTCATCCTGGCCCAGCTCTGGGTGAGAAACCTGAGGGAAGGTTTCCACGGACAGGAGGAGCAGTTTGGGGAGCAAAGGGTGGGCTCGGCCCAGAGCGGCCTCCTGCTACTGTCCACTGTTCCCCAAGTGGAACTCAGGACTCAGGCAGGGGAGGTGTGGCCTAGAGGAAGGTGATCAAGAGATGTCCCCAACCCTTGGGCCTGATCCTTGTCTACCTTCACTTCCCCAGGCTGGGCTGAAGACCGGTCTGCCTTCTACTTAAGAAGCCCCACCCTCCAGCAGGTCACCTCTGCCTCGTCATCGCGACAGGTGAATTCCCAAGCCTGGTTGAGTCATCGCCTCTTCCTGGGGTCTACACGCTCTTGCAGCTCAGGCCTCCCTCTAACAGACTGTCGCAGGGAAGGGATGGGCTAAATGCTGCTTCTGATCCACGGCTGCATCCTTGTCACACCCGGCAGGGCCCACAGTGGGCGTGCATAAATGATTTTTCACTGGAGGTATGACATCTGCTCTCTCATTTAAGCCGTCCTTCCACTTACAGAACTTGGCAGGGACAAAGATGTGCTCTAAAGAGCCGAAATTTCCCTTTTCCTGCACAGATCAAGACCGCTCAGCACTTAAGGGAGAAAAATAGACTTTATTTACAAGTAATAACATTTAGAAAAGATCCATCCCTGGCCCTTAAAAACCTTCCCATCACTCCAAATCCCACCCCAGTGTTAAGTCTGGGGAAGGTGGGGGATGAGCTGCAGCTGAAGGCTGCCCCCACCCCAGCCCCCAACCCTGCTGCTGCACCTAGGCGTGGGGCCCATCTGTTCTGGAAAAAGGGATCTTCTGGGCATCCGAGCCCTTGGGTGGATGGGAGCACCTCTGGGTGCACCCACTAGGTCAGTGTCCAGTCCTGGACTTAAAAAGCACAGGGCCCTAGTTGGGCCCAGCCACCAAGAGCAGCAGGGACCAGGGCCTGCTCCTCCAATGGTCCCTTCTGGATCCAGAGGCTGGGGAGGACTGACTTGGCCCTCGGGCCCAGCCACTCAAAGCCAGCCTCAAGACTGTTTGTGATGGAGAAGTGACTTCGCTCTAAGAAAACATGAGGCAAGGTAGGGAGAAGACCCAGACTCTCCAGGGCCAACTCTGAGGACACATCTGTTCACCTAGCGAAGGCTCCGGTGAAGATCCAGGTACCAGGCCGGGGTGTGGGCAGGCATCACTGTCTCTAGGGGTCTGGCCACTGTTGGCCTGGGAGCTGAGAGAAGGCACTGAAAGGGACAGTAGAAGGAGAAGGACCAGGCGAGGTTGGCATTTGAGGACACAGATGGGGCCTCTCACTGGTCCTGGCCCTTTAGTGCTTTGCCTGGAAGAGAGAAACATAGTCACATGGCTGGGGACATGAGATGCCAGCCTGTACCAGATGGCTCAAGGAGGCCTCTCACAGCTCCCGAAGCCCCCTGACTAGGATCCCTTTCTTGGGAGTGACCCGGACACCTCTACCTTCAGGTTCTCAGTTGCCAGCTATGCCCAAGCAGCCCTGAGTCTCCTCTCCTCCACCAGCAGGTAACCAAGGCAGGGGCACCCATACTTTGCAACCACCTCCAGCAGCCTAGCTAAGCCCTGTCATGGAAGCCTCCCGAAGGGTGGCCTGGGGGAGTGCCCCACTTCCACCCACTTTCCTAAGAGTCCACCACCCCCTTCCTGTCAGTGCTTCCACCTTGCCCTTGGCCCGAGGGGTGGCAGTGGCGGCAGCGAGGGCAGCGGCAGTGGCGGCACTGGCCGCAGTTGTAGCGATGCGCGGAGAGCGGCGGGTCCCACTGCGGGTGTTGGGGGAGGCCTTGGACAGAGCTTTCTTTGAGGCTCCCCTCCGCAGCAGGCTGTTCCCAAGCTTCTTGGGCGTGTTAAGGATGCTGAAAGCCATGGACTGGCGGCGGTCAGCCTGTTGGGGAGGGAGGGGCTGTCAAGCTGGGCTGCACTCACACTCTGCCACCAAGGCCTCCCCAGGGGCTCCCTCCAGCCCCCTGTACTAACCTGTTTAATAGCCGGAGCAGCGGCTTTCTTCTGGGCCTCCGTAGTGCTCTGTTTGCGCCCTTCATGTCGGTCCCGGGGAGTCATGGGGCGTGGGAAACAGCTGGTGGCCTTCTTAGACTATGGGGAAAAGAAGTTGACATCCAAAGCCAGACATGTGTCTCTGCATCAAGCCCTTGGACAGCGAAGGCTCCCCTTTAGTCCACTTTTCAAATTTGGGGAGCTGGGCTAGACTGGGCAAGCTGCTAGACAGAACAAGAAGTAGCCAGGGTTGCCTACCTCTGGGGTACCGGGACCCTGATGGGGCTCTGAGGAGACCCGTTTGCGCTGCAGCCGGGTGGTGATGCCCGTGCCCTCCGCTATCTGGGCTGGCTGCATGCTGGCTCGGCGCAGGGTCTCCCGGGGGTCACCAGTTTTCATCTCCTCATCTGTGATGGTAGCCAGGCTCAGAGAAGGCTGCATAGGGTGGAAAGAGTGGTCAAGCGGGGCAGAATTGCCCCCAGAACTCCTCACTGGCCTGGTGTGCAGGGCAGCTCAGGCCTTCTGTGGCGGAAGGCCTCCTTGCCGTTGTCTTCCTCTACTCTTGCCCTGCAGGATGGCCACAGGAGGCGGCAGAGCAGACCTCCACACACTCAGGCCTGCCCACAGGTAGTTCACCCCAAACCCTTCTAGGCCAGCTAGTCCGCAGAGGCATAAGGTCACCCTCTGCAGCAGGCCAGAGACCAAGGGCACTAGGGTCAGTGAGTAGTGCTGGGGTGGCGTGCCCAGGGAGGAGGAGGGGAGCTGGCCTGGGGCCTGAGCTCACCCTAGACTCCAGGGGGTAGCAGGTCTTCAAGTGAGGGGGGCACACCCGGTTGCGCTGCTGCAGCTCTGCGATGCGGTTCCAGTCGTCCAGCTGCTCGGGCTCATCCTGGCAAGTGCCCATGTAGAAGCTGTTCCTTCCTGTGGAGGGCCAGGAGACAGGAGCAGGTGGGGCTGGAAGGCCAGGAAGAGTGAGGGGAGCAGCAGGGGGTCACCCCTGGTCTTGCTAACCTTCGTATTCACCACTTCTGTCCCCCTCTCCTGTGGACTTGAGGCTTGGGGCCTCAGAGTCCTGTTGTGCTCAGGGCTGCAGATCGCAGGGCGAGGCTCACAGGGCATTTCTACTGTGGGGGCTGGCTCACCGCTCTCCCTCTGGGGAGGTCAAAGGAAATCCTCCGCAGAGGCTGTGACACCTTAGAGAAACTGAGGACCAGAGAACTGAGGACCTAGGGGGTCCTGGAAGGTAAGAGCCTTCAGGAAGAATCTAAAAATAGAACACTGGCCCAGCAGAGCTCTTCTGGCACCTCTTACCCCCTGAGATGGGGTAACAGAGGACCTGAGCTGAGCATCACGATTAGGCTGGGAATCCTAGGCCCCTTGTGTGAATGTTTCCCATTCACACAGGCTGAGATGAAGAGCAGCCTAAGGGACAGACAAGGCCCTGAGACTACAGGGAAGAGGGGCAGGCAAGGTACTGGAAGGTAATTAGCCTTGGGGTTTTAGAAGTTTGTCCCTTTCCTGTGCCAGGATCTGCTTCCCGTCTCATCTGTGTTTCAAGCCCCTATGGTCACCTCACCTGGAGGGACCCCACTGGATACACCAGCCTGGGAGCGGCGAGCAGAGCTGCGAGTGGTGGGCCGGTACCCAGGTAGACTGAGCAAAGCCGAGTTGCCATCATCAGGAGAGCCCAGGCGGGCTAGAGACTGGGTAGAAGACGTGGCTCGTGGGCCAGCCTGGGAGGCAGGGGCGGACTGGGTGCTGTAGAAGGATGAATTGGCGCTGTCCGGCTCTTCCACATCTAGCTTCTGGAAGAGAGAAATAATCTGGTGGGATGGGGCTCTGACAGTCCACAAAGCAGCCTCCTGTTCCCCTTCCTAAAATGCCTGTGTTCCCACACTGCTTTGTAGGGATCCTTAGCTGCAGAGCTGTAAGAAATGGGCCTTGTTGCTAAGAATCCTGCATAAGGTGCTGAGGCCATACCCATTTTCTCTTGCCTGTTGACCATGCTTTGAAGGAAGGCAGGCAGAGTTGTGTATCAGACCAGTTTAGAATCAAAGTGTAAAAAAATAAAGGATCGGCCTACCAGTCTCAGCTAGCAAGTGGCAGAGCCAGAGCTGGAATGCTTGGCTTCCGGGCTAGTCAGGCTCATCCCATAGTCTCCACTGTCCCCTCAACCTGAGCTGACCATGACCCTGCCCATCTTTTAGTTCTCCAGCTTCTTGGTAGCAAAGGGCAGCCCACACAAAGGAGGTACCCTTTGCTGCATGAAAGTTACCTCCCCACTCCCCAACCTCCTCAGGATATGGAAACACGGCCAGCCAGAGTTCCCAGCCTGGCAGGCAGCCTTCTGGATGGCCACAACGCATCTCAGCCACCCAGGTGGTGTGCTGGAGGCCCAGGGCTGGGCAGTAACTTCACATTCTCTCCCTTCAGCCTGCACAGGGTCAGTGCTACCCATGGAAAGAAACCCGCCTTAAAACCAACAAGGCATCCAATTCCAGCCCTGCCCTTTTCTACAAAAGAGGCCTTTGTTTCTTGGGATCTTAAGATACAGCTTAATCAGTCTGGCCAGCCTTGGGAGGCTACTGTGAGGACCCGATGGGGAAGATGCCCTTATGAGCAAGGGAGCATGACTGGCTTACAGTCCCACTCCCAGCAGCCTGACCTTGGTCATGGTGATATTGATGATTTGCGTGGTACGTCGACGAGCAGAGCGGGTCTTCCGGCCTGAATCCAGGAAGACGTCCCCCAAGGAGTCCAGGCTGCTCTCCAGTGGGGCCTGACCCCGAGCTGGGATTGGGGTGAAGTAGAGAGACTCCAGGGATTCTACCTTGGGGGGCAGGCGCTGGGAGATGGGGGAGGCTGGCTCTCCAGGGATGCTGGTGCCATCTGGCTGAGTTCGAGGCAGCTTGCTGTAGAAAAGGCATTTTGTTCATCCCTTTGCTTCAAAGTAACCAACTCCTACATTTACTACAAGCGGACCAGGTCAAGCACCCCATTTTTTCTCTGATTTTTGAGAAGTACCCAGGAAAGCCCTTAGCCCGCCCGGGCCCTCCCTTCACTCTCCATTCCAGGTGAGCTCATCTACTCCCATGGCTCTCTGAGGTCCTTAACACTGGCAACTCCGGGATTCCACTATCCCAGACATCGCCCCCTGGACACCCAGCTCCACAGTGTTCCTCCTCGATGAGCCACTTCAGGGAACAAGAGCGGCCTCCAGCTGGGCACCCCCCAGCCACAATCCTACCCAACAGCTCACCTAACCACACCCCGTCCCTTCGCATCTCTTTGGCCAGTCTACCTCATCTCCTCTCACCTAGACTTAGTGGCACCTGAGGAGAGGTGCGAGCCTGGTGACAAGCAGAGGTTCAAGCCTACCTCTACCACTGTGGGACCTTGGTCAAATGACTGCCCCTTTATGCCCCATTCTCATCTGTTAAAGTACATAATCACGGA